TATCATCTCCTGTTAAAGTGGGTTCCAAGAAAAGCGCATGTCGAGCGTATCCTGAGGGTGGGCATGAGGATACAGTGGAGGCCCATGCCAAGAAACACCCTGCTTGCCTCCAGGGTGCCCTGGGTTTCTTGGGCCTCGACGGTTTTTGCGATGAAAAGCGTGACGTTCCCACACCAAGAAAACAATGGACGTCCTGGGGTCTCAGGGCTGGAAGTCTTATGGCAGGTTTCTTGTGAACTGGCCTCCACCGTATGCATTGATGCTTGCACGCAGGGCGAGGCACTCGGCACAGCGGGCGGACAGCACCGCGGGCGGACTGGTAGCTCGCTTCACGCGTGTCCTGGCCAGCGCCAGCTCTGACGCAGAGCTCGAAGGCAGAGTATCGGCGGCGAGCGAGTGGGGGAGGTGAGAAGGAGAAGGCCTTCTCAGAAGGTGGCGGGACCTCTCAGGAGCCCTCGCGCCCTTGAGAAGGTTTTTGGGTCTTCAGGGAAGGCTTCGAACACTTCACAGAAGGCCCGGGGACTTCCGAGCTTTCTGAGAAGGCCCGCCCCTTCTCGCTTCCCACCCTCGCTCGCCGCCTAGAGGAGCCAGACAAAACAAACATGTGTCCTCCGCCCCCGCCGCGCCCCCGTGCCTCCCGCGCCAAGGAACTACCACGACTACCTCTGCCGCAGGAGGCTGATCATGAGGGTGGCGGACAGGCGCAGGCCGCGCCCGCCGGGGGCACGGCACGGGGAAGGGTGCGGGGGTTTTCGTGTGGTCGTACAAGTGGGGGCCTCCAGGGTGCCCGGTTTTTTTTGGGTTGCGATGGTTTTGCGATGGAAAGCGTGACGTTCCCACACCAGGAGAACAATGGACGTCCTGGGGTCTCAGACTTGGGTTTCTTGCGGCAAGGTTCTTGTGGACTGGCCTCCACTGTAACCGACTTGATGTTGCGCAGGCCTCATGGCTGGTGCCGCCGACCCTGAAGGGGGACGACGACGACGACGCTTTGGGCTCCTGGGGCCATCTGGAATCTTGGTGGTGCTCTTGGGGCGCGCCCGCCAGGGGCACGGCAGGGGAAAGATGCAGGTGTCGTCTCGTAGCCGCAGCCGACCTGATATCCGCGTCTTCCCACGATGTTAGTTTGCCCACCTGTGTTTCCTCCATCTGTATCGGGGGCCCCCAGCCGGTGTGGTGACCACACTGCGTGGTGAGTCAGTGGGGATTCGGGGTCACCACGCGGTTTTGGGACGTCTGGTGACGGAGCGCGCAGTGAGTTCCTTGGGGATCCGAGGTCACAACGCGGTCCGTTACCACTCGGTTTTGGGGCTCCGAATCGCAGTTCTTGAGCTGCGGCTGCAGCTTGCTGTCAAGCGCCACCTCCCTCCTTGGAGTATCCCAGGCCATCTTGGAAGTCTCTCATCGGTGCTCAAGAGACGGGGGTCAATGCAAACGTGGGTCAGCCATAGCGCCGCATCTTGCAGGATCCTGCGGTGCCAGGGTTGCATTGGCCCGGGTTTGCACGCAGGATCCTGCAGGATCTTGCAGGATCTTGCAGGATCCTGCACGGCCCGACTGATCTGGGCTTGCCTTGACACGGGTCAGTTGATCCCCGATCTCAGGTACTCCTCCGCCTCCTCCCTCTCTGCACTGCGCCGTGGCCTGGCTGCGCGAAGACGTCCGGGTGCGGCCCGCAGAGGCTGGGTTTCCCACCCGTTCTGGGTCGAGAAGGATTTCGTTTCGTTTGCCAGGTCTCCCCCAGCAGCAGCACACATGCACACATCCCAAGACAGTGCATACCCCGAAGGGCCACCCCCCACCAGAGTGGGGAGAAGAATCTGGAACCTCTCTCCGTGAGGTTGCAGAGAGGCTGAGCGGTACAGTGCAGTATGGGGTAGAAGTTGAGCGTGAGGCTGCGGCAGCAGGCGCCGAAGCCCCCCCCCCTCTTCTCACGGGAAGCGGCAGGGGAGGGATAGGCTCCGGGAGGGATGCATCGACCCCCCACCGCCCATCGATCGCCGATCGGGTTTAATCGGGCCTGTCCCTCCACAGGAGGAATATCACAAATTGTCAAAACATACAATGGGGACGTTTTAATTTATTTCCAGCATGAGACATACCAAAATCCGCCTGTAGGGGGACATGCCCGACCTACGATTTGCTGTCGGGGGCCTATCGCCGATATAGCGGCGACGTATCGCCGATTCCAGGCCGATGTCTCCTCCTGTGGACGGTCTCCCTATCGTTCCCCCTCATCGTTACGAAGAATAATAAGAAGAATACTAATAAGAAGAAAAAGGATGATACTAATAATAATAATAATGATAATAAGCATAACCGAACAAAACTATCAGCACATGCATAAACCTTCAGAGGTCAGCGCGGATTCAGTGGATCTGTGCTGGGCCACCCTTGCAGCACCACTGGCGCTGCCCCTCCAGCACCGATTCAAGAAATGCGCGCGGACCTCCGAATGTTTAAGTTGATGTGGGTCGCACGCGGGTGCATTTAGAAGTATTTGACATCATCGCGCACCTGCCAACCCTGTCAGCTAAAACCATGCAGGCTACATGCGCGCGCGCGCGCCCCTGCGCGCGTATGTCAAATCATTGTACAGTATTGCGGTTTCTAAGCGTTTCAATTACGTACACATTTAGATTATATATATATATATATATCTAAATACACATGCATATATACATATGCACATGTGCGAACACATCTCCGCCAAACATGTGTTTCCCCAAGCAGTGCCTGCACTTAGGGGCTCTCCATGGGATTTCTTCAACACTTCGATGGGCTCCCAGGGCTTTCTCGCCACGTCGGCGCCCGGGCCCGCTCGTGAGCACCCCTTTCCCTGGGTGGGCTTCCCAAAGCTTCGCCTCGTGGGCGCCCCGTGCGCTGGGTGGGATTCCCGAGAATTCGCCGCGTTGGCGCCCGCGCCTGCTCGTGGGCGCCTCGTGGGCGCCCCGTGCGCCGGGTGGGCCGCGTTGGCGCCTGCTCGCGGGCGCCTCGTGGGCGCCCCGTGCGGTGGGTGGGCTCCCCGAGGTATTGCCTCGTGGGCGCCCGCGCCTGCGCGTGGGCGCCCCGTGGGCGTCCCGTGCGCCTGCGCCACACAGCTTGCACAGCGTGGCTTGCGTCACCCTGGCTTGCACCACACAGCTTGCAGTGCATGGCTGGCACCACATCGCTCACGCCACATAGCTTACACCACAGCCTACACTGTTTAGCTCGCACCAGGCGGATCCCATCGAATGCATTGCACAGCTCAGCTTGCAACACAGATCTCACACCACATAGCTTGCTCACCATAGCTTGCGCCAAACAGCATAAGCATAGCTTTCACCATATGGCGCACACCATTTTACACAACATAGCTTATACCACGTAGCTTACACATCATAACTTGCACCACTTATCCCTCGTCATGCTCAACAGTACTATCGTCATCATCATCATCATCATCATCATCATCGTCATCGTCATCGTCATCGTCATCGTCATCAGCATCATCATCGTCATCAGCATCATCATCACCAGCATCATCAAACTCATCACCAGCATCATCACCATCATCGCCATCATCATCATCAGCATCATCAGCATCGTCGTTGTGGTCATCATCATCAGTAGCAGCAGCAGCACTACCCCCGTCATCATCATCCGCAGCATCATCATCATCATCACCATCATCACTAGCAGCACCACTACCATCATCAGCATCATCATCATTACCACCATCATCATCATCGCCATCATTGTCATCATCATCAGCATCATCATCATCATCATCATCATCAGCATCATCATCATCATCATCATCGCCAGCGTCGCCGTTGCCATCTTTGTCACCATGCTCAACACGTTTATCGCGTTCAACATCGTGTTTTTTACCAGCACTGTCGTCATCACCGTCATCATCGGTACCGTCGCCGTTGTCAACATCGCCACCACCATCGTTATCATCATCATCATCATCATCGTCACCACCATCAGTTAATCATACTCATCATCACCATCACCATCACCATCACCATCACCATCACCATCACCATCACCATCACCATCACCATCACCATCACCATCACCATGGCCAACATCACCATCACCATCGCCATCACCATCACATTCACCATCACCATCAGCATCAGCATCAGCATCAGCATCAGCATCAGCATCAGCATCACCATCAGCATCAGCATCAGCATCAGCATCAGCATCATCATCAGCATCAGCATCACCATCACCATCACCATCACCATCACCATCACCATCACCATCACCATCACCATCACCATCACCACCATCACCATCACCATCACCATCACCATCACCATCACCATCACCATCACCATCACCATCACCATCACCATCACCATCACCATCACCATCACCATCACCATCACCATCACCATCACCATCACCATCACCATCACCATTACAATTACCATTACCATTACCATCACCATTACCATTACCATTACCATTACCATTACCATTACCATTACCATTACCATTACCATTACCATTACCATTACCATTACCATTACCATTACCATTACCATTACCATTACCATTACCATTACCATTACCATTACATTACCATTACCATTACATTACCATTACCATTACCATTACCATTACCATTACCATTACCATTACCATTACCATTACCATTACCATAACCCATTATTACCATTACCATTACCATTACCATTACCATTACCATTACCATTACCATTACCATTACCATTACCATTACCATTACCATTACCATTACCATTACCATTACCATTACCATTACCATTACCATTACCATTACCATTACCATTACCATTACCATTACCATCTTACAATTACAATTACCATTATTATTATTATTAGCATTAGCATTATCATTACCATTACTATTACCATTACCATTACCATTACCATTACCATTACCATTACCATTACCATTACCATTACCATTACCATTACCATTACCATTACCATTACCATTACCATTACCATTACCATTACCATTACATTACCATTACCATTACCATTACCATTACCATTACCATTACCATTACCATTACCATTACCATTACCATTACCATTACCATTACCATTACCATTACCATTACCATTACCATTACCATTACCATTACCATTACCATTACCATTACCATTACCATTACCATTACCATTACCATTACCATTACCATTACCATTACCATTACCATTACCATTACCATTACCATTACCATTACCATTACCATTACCATTACCATTACCATTACCATTACCATTACCATTACCATTACCATTACCATTACCATTACCATTACCATTTCACCATTTTACCATTTTTATCACCATTTCATCATTATTGCCATTATTTTCACCATTTTTATCACTATCGCTATCACCATCATTATCATTATCGCCATCACCATCACCATCACCATCACCATCAGCATCAGCATCAGCATCAGCGTCAGCCTCCTTTCCCTCCTCCTCTTCCTCTTCCTCTTCGTCGTCGTCGTCGTCGCCGCCGCCGTCGTCATCAGCACCATCATCACACGCCCGCCCTAGTCATGGATCTGCATGGTAGGGTCTTCGAGCCATTTCGCCAGTTGAGTTGCCAAGAAGTTGCGGGTGGGTGGGAGGGATGCTTCTCGAGCAGTGGAGCCATCGACTTCAGATTTTCAACATTCATTGCACCACGTCGTTTGCACCGCGTAGATTGACCGCAACGCACCGCTACCACATCGCATGCACCACATTGTGCACCACATTTTTTGCACATCCATAGCACAAGAACTCTGTTTGAGGTCCGCATTGGTAACTATTTCGCTGGAGCGAGAGTGTCTGAGGGAATGGGGTGGGTGGGTGGGTGGGCAGGCAGGGGGGTGGAGGAGGATGAGGAGGAGGACTACGAGGAGAACGAGTTGGTGGAGGAGGAGGAGGAGGAGGAGGAGGAGGAGGAGTGAGGAGGCAGAGGCGGAGGTGGAGGCGGAGGCGCAGGAGGAGTCGAAGGACTCAGCGTTCCCTGGTCTCCTCCTCCAGAGGCTGCTCGACACGCTGTCCTGGACCAACGTCGAGGGATACCTCAAGATACGCGAGGCGCTCCCCCCCCTCCCCCGTGGCCCGCCGTGCGGAAGGGGCCCTCTTCCGCCCTGGTCGTCGTATTCTTCCTCTGTCTCCGTTCTGGTCGTCGTCTTCTCCCTCTTTCTCATTTCTTCTTCTTCCCACTTCCGTCTTCTTCCTCTCTCTCTCCGCGTCCGTCTCTCCGTCTTCTTCCTCTCTCTATCTCTCCGTCTCGGGCCCCGCCTCCTGGGAAATGAGTCAGGCTGGGACTACGGCCCTTCAGCAATCGAAAGGACAAGTGTCACCCGCTGACCGGTCTCTCCCTCAGCGGTGACCGCCCCAGCGGCTAAGGTGGTAGCCGCGCTTTCGCCTGATGACTCACGGCTTCTTCGTTCTATCGGCAGAGTTATGTGGTCTGCGGGTCCTCCTCCGTCTCCTATTCGTCATCATCCCGTTCACCCCCTCCTTCCCTGCCTCCCTCCCTCCCTTGCGGCTTCAATCGGCTTGCGAGGATCAAGCTGTGCAACTCTTTGCGTGAGTCTGCGTAGTTCTGTGTAAATCCATGTAAATCCACATCAATCGGAAGAATTCTAGACGCTTCGCGTAACCCCACCAGCCAGACCCCTGGATCGCGGGGGTGATCGTCCCCCCACCCCAGGGCTGACCAGGACCCCGTGCTGATGGCGGTAACTCTACCTCTTTCATAGCGGCGGTTAGCTGCGACCCTGGATCCCCGCGGGGAATGGCAGATTCGACGGGTAAGACAGTGCCCCGACGTTTGCCGCCCTTCCGTATTTCATGCGGGCGGCTGTCGTGCAGCTCTACCCTGGATTCCCCTGCCTCGCTTGCGATGTTCATTCCCGCCAGCTTGGCCTCTCTCACGCAGTGCATCAGTCGGCGACCTTTGCGCAGCTGATGGAAGGGTCGGCCCCCTGGAGTCTCGGGGCCTTCCCCGTAGTGCACGGGATGGTGGACCTTGGAGAAGCGCCAGTTTCGAGTGGTTCAGCCTTCGCAGCCGCGGCCGCTCCACCGGGCTCCTCCCACCTTCCAGGCTGGTTTGCGACGTTCCTCGGCAGCGCAGCTCACCTGGCTCGCACACGCCGTTGGCGCGACCTGGGCTGCCCTTGGCGCCCCACTGGCGACTCGCCCATCGCTTACCACCCCTGGACGCCCTACGGGCATGCTGGTCACGCAGTCATCGCCGCACTCGTCCTCGTGTTTCGTGCGGGTCTCGCCTCACGGCACAACCTTAATTTTCCAGCATTTTGCTGGGCTGCAAGTGCCTGAGCTTCCCTGGACGCCCTCAGCTTGCCATCTCCCCCGCGCAGCCTGCCGCTGCTTGGTGAGTGGGCCGGCCGGCCTGCGGCGCGTTTAGTAGCTAATTAGGCCGCTGCCGTGTCCCCGAGCGCTTCTGACTCCGCTAGCGCCTTTGCTGGCGGACGCAACCGAAACAGTATCCTCACCAGCCCATCCAGAAACGATGCCCAGAGGAATTGCCTCGATTAGGGAGGTGAGCAGCACACAGAGGAAGGGTCCCCCAGTGGAGGCCTCTTGGAGCGTCTTGGGTGCCTCGGAGAGCTTCTTGGGGCCTCCAGGGGGTCTCTTGGGAGCATCTTGGAGGCCTCTTGGGCGCTTGTTGGGGCCTCCTGGGCGCCTCTTGGGGCCCTCTTGAAGCGCCCTTCGGATCCTTGGGAGCGCTCTTGGGGCCATCTTGGGGGACATCGATCAAACAAAACGAGCATTAGTTAGTGTTGCCCCTCGGGAGCCCAAACAATCGCCTCTTGGGGCGCTCTTGGGGCGCTCTTGGAGCGCTCTTAGGCGCTCTTGGGGCCGTCAGGGGGCTCTCTGGAGCTTGGAGCCCTCTTGGGCCATCTTGGAGCCATCTTGAGGCCTCGGGTGGCCATCGGAAACGAAATGCGAGAAAGCCAAACACATAGAATTTCCTAAGGTTTTGGCCTCTTCGGGGCCTCCTAGGGGAGCTCTTTGGCCACTGGGAGCCGTCTTGGAGCGGTCTTGGGGTATCTTGGAGCATCGTGGGAGCCACTATGAGACATCTTGGGATATCTATAGAGCCATCTTGGAGGTCATCTTGGGCTCTCCAGGCGCTCTTGGAGTCATCTTAATCAATGCCCCCCCAAGAGGCCAACATGTGGCTAAAACCTTAGTAGAATCAATGATTTGGCATTCTCGCCGAGGCCTCTTGGAGCATCTTGGGTGCCTCTGCGGGGTCTTTGGGGGCCTCTTGGGGGTCTCTTGGGGGCCTCTTGGGGGCATCCTGGGGGCCTCTTGGGGCTTCCCGGCCACCTCTTGGGGTACTATTGGGAGCCTTGGAGGCTATTTTTGGGCCATCTTGGGTGAGATCGATCACAGGAAGGGGGGTGTCTAATTATAGTTCCCCCTTCAGGAAGCCAAAATGGGGCCCAAACCCTAGTAACACCAATGATTTCGGCTTCCTCGCCGAGGCCGTTTTGGACGCTCCGACACCTCGCGGAACCCCCTGTCCAGGTCCAGGGGAGGGGGTCACGGGGTAGGGGGAGGGGTCACGACTCCCTCCCCGCCCGCAAGCCGTGTCGCTCACTCCCACCCGCCCTCCCAACACATACGTAGCACCCGAGCTTGGCCCGAGCCGCAGCATATTCCGCAGTCGTCTTTGAATGGGCAGCTACTGGGGGCGAGTCCGCCGCCGCCGCCGCCGCCGCCCCCGCCGCCGCCGCCGCGGCCGCCCGCCGCCGCCGGCGCCGCGCGCCGCCGCCGCCGCCGCTGTCCGCCGCCGCCGCCGCGGCGCCGCCCGCCGCCGCCGTCACGCCGCCGGCCCCGCCGGAGCGCACGCCCTCCGCCGCCGCTTCCGCCGCCGCTTCGCCGCTTCGCCGCCGCCGCCGCTGTCCGCCGCCGCCACCGCCGCGCCGCCCGCCGCCGCCGTCCGCTGCCGCCGCCGCCGCGCCGCCCGCCGCCGCCGCAGCCGCTGCCGTCGCCGCCGCTGCCGAATCGCCACCGCCGCAGCCGCCACCGCCGCAGCCGCCGTAGCCGCTGCCCCCGCCGCAGCCCCCGCAACCGCCGCCG